ATGGGAGGGTTGCAGAAGATAAAATGAAAGTTCACTCAGAAAACCCACAGAGGGATGAAACCCAAGTCAAGGAGGGGAAACTAAACATGAGTGAGCGAAGCGAGACAAACTCCTGACACAAAAACGAAACAGGCTAAAGACGTCAGCACAGGGACAGAGCAGTGAGATGATCGGAGCCGATCTTCACCTCTGTCTGCCATGTTGTCCACAAAGAGGGAAGATCTGCAGTGCTCAGGAGTGCATGTACACACACTGTGAATACACATCTAAAACACATATATGGACAAACAGATCCTCCTTGTACCTGAACCGGTCTAGAAGGTAAAGCATCACCGCCACCACATGCACCGAAAGACCCACCAACAGCCACAACGTGCTTTGGAAAGGCTGCATAAATGAATCCAGCGTACTTCGAGGGATTTCCTAAAAACACATACATCACAAAGGGTTATCGATTATTTACTGACAAACAGGTTATCTGGGACAAGTCGTGTTTTGGGAAAAGTCGTGGCAAACAGCTTAGCAACACAGAGATTCAGTAAAAAACAACAAAATGTGAATAATAGTTTGATTAAAAATGCTAAATATTTTATTTATGCATAACTCTGAGAAGCTCTTAGCATAATTTAGATAAGTTGTTAGCATTGTTCAGAGCTGAAAATTASTTAGTTAATAAAGCTTCTAACATAATTTAGAGTAGCTGTCAGCTTAGCTTAACTCGGATATGCTGTTAGCATTATTCATAGTAGCTGTTAACTGAAATAAGCTGTGAGAAGTTGTTATTTTAACTTAGAGTAGCTGTTAGCTTAACTCTAGATAGCTAATATCTTAACTGTGAGTAGCTGTTAGCTTTACTCCAAGAAGCTCATAGCTTAATTTTGGGTACCTGTTAGCCTTACTCTGAGAAGCTGCAGCTTAAAGAAGCTTTTAGCTTAACTCCAGGTAGCAGTTATATTTACTATGAGAAGGTGTTAGCTCTGGGTACCTATTAGCTTAACCCTGAGTAGCTGTTAGCTTTACTCCCAGAAATTTAAAGCCTAACTCTGGGTAGCYGCTAGCCTTCTCAGAAGCTGTAGCTTAAATCAAAGAAGCTGTTAGCATAACTCCAGGTAGCAGTTATCTTTGCTATGAGAAGGTGTTAACTCTGGGTACATATTAGTTAAACCCTGAGTAGCTGTTAGCTTTATTCCGAGAAGCTTATAGCTTAACTCTGGGTAGCCGCCAGCCTTCTCAGAAGCTGTTAGCATAACTCCAGGTAGCAGTTATCTTTGCTATGAGAAGGTGTTAACTCTGGGTACCTATTAGTTAAACCCTGAGTAGCTGTTAGCTACACGTCTTAGTTTCAAGAAAAATATTCACAGAGATTGGTCTGACTCAACACAAAACTATTTTTTAAAATAAAAACTAACATTTAAAGTGTGTATGACCCACAATAAGTGGATCAAAAGTGTGAGTGTTTATTCTATTGTGTCCCATAATAAAAAAGGGGGATTAAATGTCCCATGATAAAATAAAAGGGGACATTTTTCCTCTTTAGGTTCAATCAATGCAACTGTCTCGTGGTAACTGAGGGACCAAATGTTCAACCCACCTTTTTGACAAGAATGGTGAGTCCTTGATATTTAAAGGGTTTGGAGAACTCGATGTACTGRGCCCGCTCGTTGTTTATAGTCAGCGGGGCAACAATCATGTCGGCCAGTCCCCCYAGGAGCTCACCCATCATGCCGTTCCACTCTTTCTTGTTGCTGTTGTTCACCTGGAAAACAAAATGTAAAAGTCTTCACATAGACTTTACCTAAAACAGACGGAAATCACGAAAGTGTTTTGGTGGTTAGACTCTGAAATCACAGAGGTAATATACGCAGAGCACAGCCGGACGTTAAATTTTGCAGAAGCAGTTTGGTGCATTCACTGCCCGTCTGCTTTGTAAGAGCATCTTTACATCCCCACAGCTTTTTCCATTTAAGAATAGGCTACAGTAAGCACGACTCTTAAGACTGTCTTGGCTGCTAACACTTGGCGTTAACCCAGAAATGCTGCGCRCTCGCGGCGCCAAAGCTTCACTAATTGGACATGAAGGTAAGTAAAACACGACACGAGCAACTTGAGTGTGAACATGACGACAAAGAACAACCTCTTCTTACTGAACATCCCGGCTAACATCCTCAAGCTTTGCAGCTACAAGCCCCACGACTCTGCAGCCAAACCACCTGGGAGGCAATTCCTGCAATTCTGATTTTTAATAATTCAACCAGTGACTAAAGTGTTTTTTATCCCTACTGGTAAAAACCTCCATGAGGGGCAGGGAAATGTGTAACTGCCTGTGTCTGTTTGTTTGACTGTTAGCAAAATATCTCACACTCCACTGGACCTGGACATCTACAGTCCAATTCAAGATGGCTGCCGCAGATGATCAAATGTGGCAAACACACAAGTGGCTATAACTCAGTCCATTCTACTGATGTTGAGCTAACATTTGGTGGTGTAGTAGCTGAGAGTCATCCACAATACTTAACTAAAACTGAACTGATTTACTAGTTTTGTAAAGAAAGGCARTATTTGATTTGAAGACCTAAACAAACCTGTTTGTATAAACTTGTTAAAAAGCCTGGCATTTCTTTATTAAACTCTGTTTTTATTTGTTTATTTTTAAAGTTGTTTGAATTTTAGGCCATCGAGGGCCAAACTGAAAGGGTTCAAAAGCTCTATTTGGCCCCAGTTCCATCAGTTGCACCTCCAAACCTGTTTTAATAAGGAGGCACACCAAAACCAAAAGCCAGAATAGTTTGTTGTCATTTAAGGATTTTTTTTTACAGCAATACAGGAGTTAGGGAAGCACCTGCTTATATACCTAAGTCTAYTTTATTTTTAAATCTTCTTTTACAGTTGATATTGATAAAAGGAAGTCATTCCTCAGTTTATTTAAATTTATATTTATTTAAAAGAAATACACATATACCCTCCTGAAACAGTATCCTACATTGGTTTTATTTTTTATTTAAAATAAAATACACACACACACACATATATAT